ACTCTGACTTAGTCACTTGTGGTCCTGTTGCAGCCAACAGAGAAAACTCCCACACTAGTGAATTCTTGTAAGCTGAGTTGCTAAGTGGAGCGTGTTAGTGGAATCCTGCCGTATCTCCCAGGTGTGCTATTTGGGATGGGATGAACACACAGAGATGCACCTGGCTGCATCTGCACAGCTTCTCCAATCCCTCCTGTTCCACAGCCCTCTGATGGTCCAGGCTGATGTCACTGGTCAGCTTTTTGGTTATCTTTTGTTAAGGAAATGAACCCAAGACATCAGGATTGCCTGACAGCACATTGCTGGTGTATCAGTGGATGGAATCTGTGATGTAACACTGAAAATTACTCCAAACCTTTCCCCAAATTTAATAACCTTCCATTGAACGAGTGCTTATCAAAAAAGAGAATGCTCATCTAAGACAACCCTTCTACAGATCATGGATTTTATTCCTATTTTTTGTGGGTGTATACACTTTTCTGCATAAAGGATTCAGACAGAAGTTACATTTTTTGTAATATATGAAGAGCTTGTTAATCTTGGAGAATAAGAACCCAATAAATTTTGCCAACTGTATTTGTTGACATGATTATTTTTTTTGTATTAAAATTTTATTTTCTGTCTGTAATTTTTCCTCTGCGTGCTTTGGTAGGAAACTCAGGGGTAAAGTTCCATTACAAATATGAAATTGATAGCTAGCTACAAAAAGAAAAGCAGATGGCAGCCAAGCAGATGCACCAGATGTACATTTCTGCATCTTTTGTATGGATTGGGACACCCAGGAACACAAATTTCTATTGTTTACAGTACAGAAGTTAATTACCCATACTTTAAAATCCAGAACTTTTCTCTGATACATAAGGGTGCACTTAAATATTCTTGTCAGTACATCAAAAATTGAACCCAAGTCATTGGCAAACACGCTTACTGTGGGCAGTCATATTCCCAAACTGGGCTGGCCAGGCAAACTCCTGGAGCTACAAATAAATTTCAGACAAGTGCCTTGAGTTGAAAATGCTTTTTCTTCAGTTGAGGGTTCTGGCTTTATTTTGTGAGGAGACTGGACAAATGTAGCTGGAATGAGGACTGCATAGGAGGAAAAGGATGTTTACATTTTCCGCTGTGTTCTCTCTGAGCTTTGCACCAAGATATTTAGGCGTGTGACTCTCCAACTACTTTATTTCAAGTCCAGCTTATTGAGATTTGTTTAATATCTAGCTAAAATAGTTAATTTCTAGCCCAGTTGGAACTTCAGATCTTTTGTTCTGAGATCCCTTTCTTGAGCTGCTGTGGTTTTCTTTTTTTAAACAACTCATCTGGGAGACAAGGACCTGGTGCACTCCTGTCATGTAGGATTTCTCTGCATGGAGAGACCAGCTTTTGCATTGAAAATCATAACCAAGAGATAAATGAATTGTAAAATAGCTTAAATTTTTTTTCCTTGCAGACTGAGATACATGGTTTGAAACATTAAAGCCAGAAGATTTGGAAGTATTAAATGTGTGTCTGATGTACATAAAATTTCTAGGGTTGTTTTAGAATTGCTACAATTTTGGCAAGAGTCCACAATTTCCATTTCAGACTTCTAACCTTGGCCTCCTGTTTTCCAAAGATGGATTGTCTTGTGGGGTTTTTACAGGGGGCTTAGATACCATTTTGAGATTTGGAAGGAGGACATACCTAGGAATTGATATGACTGAGATAACCCAGTAGGGGTGTCCAAAAGCTAAGAACACCCTGAAAGCAACACTCTACAGCTGAGTTTTCTGTATTTTGTGAAATACCCTGGATTGAAACAAAAAAAAGCTCCTTCTGAGCCATTTATTTACAAAGATGCAGTACCTGCAAGATGAATTTTTAGTTTCAAAATAATTGTGAAGACACACACTTCTTTCAATGGCACAAATGCTACAGAAGAAACAACCCTGCTGCAAGTAAGGATTTGGCATTTCTAATTGCTTTTTAACCTTTTCCAGACCAAAAATTTAAGTGTTAGGTCCTTGCCTGACTTCTGGAATTTGGATACAAGAAAATAATTTTTGTGGAGTAAATTTGTATCACTTACTTCCCAGTGACTGCCTGATACATAAGAGGTATTTTGGCCTTTTCACAGCATTCAGGAAAACAAATTTGTTAATGCTTGGGTATACATGAGAAACTTCTGGCTCTATCACCAAGAGGAGTATTCAGGAGAGCCTAAATTTTCAGCTAGAGGGTAAATTTAAAAAAGATAGCAATTTTGAGATAAACTATGCTGTAAATTTGATATCAGTGTTCTGTTTTTAGCTTTAGAAGTTATCCATTAATTGTAGAAATCCAAGGACTCACATTTTAAGTGAACTGCTACAATGAATGTTTCTCCTGGGGTAACTTTCTCTTGCTGGGCAACTTTGCCCTTGGGCCTGCTTTTTGAACAAATGGCTATAAATCAGAAGTAATGCTCATGAAGCCTGCGAAATACAGCAGGAGAGAAGTACCAAAGCTTCGCCATGCTTTTGTAAATTTGGTTTTCCTTTCTTTTTTAGGAAGGTCCTTCTGGAGAGAAATGTCCCCAGGATGCAAACACATTGGTTGTACCTCATCAAAATCAAACGGGTTTGATTTCACTGAGACCAGCGCAGTGTAGCAAAGGTGGATTTGCTCTGTGTTGATGTGCCATAAATAAACTTGCTTCTTTTTGGAAGAAACCTCCTTCTCGGAGTTCCCTTGCATCCACACCCTCTTTTTTTTTATCTACAGTTCTCAGCACTGCTTCCGTGCAGCAGGCACATGAGTGTGCTGAGCCATTGGGCGGATGGGGAAGACAGATGACGCTCCGTGGCCACGGCAGCGGTGAAAGCCAAGGTGTGCCAGCCGTTCTTAGCACAGCATGAGTTTGAACCGTTCTCTGCCTGCTGTAAGCAGGGAAAGAAAGAATGGGAGAACAGAGCCTATTTTCATCTGGTTTTAAGGAGTAAATGCTGTCTTTGGATGGACTTTGAGATCATCCAAATTTCGAGGGGGAAAAAAATGTTAAATGAAGTCAGCTGTAGATCAGTGTTTGTACCTTCTTCAAAAGAACAAGAATAATTTAGGATGCTAATGCTACACCTATTCAGAAGCCAAAGTGTCACAGCCATTTCCCTGACCCCAAGGGCAACACACAGCCTGTGCCAGAGATCATGAAGGGCCACTGCTGCAAGCACTGGCATGGAGTCTCAGCTGTGTTTTCAGCATACAATGTGTAATATGGATATACATTCCTGAAGTGAAAGCCGGCTCTTCTGTTCCTTTGATAATGTTTGTTTCAGTTCCCGCTATACTTCTTCCTCTTGAGGCCCTGTTTTAGGAAAAAAAAAAAAAAAAAAAAAAGCTCCATTGCTACAATACTTAGAACAAGTCAGGTGGAGAAACTGAGAGAAATTTACCAAGCATCTGATCTTACAGAGGAAAACTAAAAATAAATCAGGTGTTTTTTTTGGCATGAATGAGAGAGGCAAGAAGGACCTGAAGATGACATAGGTAACTTTATTTTTAAAAAGCAGAGTTCTTGCACACACCTCTTACCTGCAAATTCAGGACTACTTGCAGTAGTATCTAAAATTCCATGGTGACTGCAAGCATCCCTACTGTTGCTCAGCTAAGTGCTCAGGGAAAGCAAACATAGCCAAATTAATAGTTTGAAGCACATGTCCATATTATTATCCATATTGTAAATAAGATCAGGAACTGTGGCTTACATAGGTCAACTGGTCTTGAGTAAAATACCAACTCTTAATTAGTGAGGGTACTTAAGACTGGTGGCTGAGTGTATCCACAGCCCAGACAGATCTGATTAGGCTCTGACATACCCATGAACAATGTGCAGTGTGTTATTTCTGAACACATTCCAAATGATTTCCCACAGAATCCAGTAAAATACTATTAACATTGCTAGCAAACTTAAGTATTTATATATTTTCTTATTATGCTTTGGAGAACAATCTGTCTTTTTATTAGGGGATACTGTCTGCAGCAGCAGAATTACCAGCTGTGACAGGGGCTGTCAGACACTGCTCCTGTGCAGACATGAACCAGGCAGGGTTTGGGAGAAGATTGCTCACTGAATATCCACCCACTTCTGCACATGAGCCAGACAGTCAGTTTTCTGGGGTATGTGTCAAATCAAATTTCAGAGGTTGAGTGGAAACGAGGAATGTTTTGCCTGCGGCTCTGGAGGCAATGAAGGACTGGATGCACACGCCCTGATAATGCACTGTACTGGCCACCCTGTGCTGCAATATGGGCCTCTGTCTCTGCCTATCCGTCTCTTATGACTTCAGTACATTTCTCTGCATCACCACCACAAAGAGACAAATCTTAATAGGGCAGGGGAAGGCCCTGGATTTTCTCAGAATGTGCTGGAAGTGCTGTGGTCTATGTGTTCCTGCACAGATGGTGCAGCAGCCGAGGTGCCCTGGCTGTGCCGAGGAGGGGTGAGGGGTGAGCCACAAAGCACCAGTCTGTGCCTTGCCTTGCCTGGGTGGACACACCTGCCACCAAAAAGGTTACAGGAATGAGGCAACGCTGCTCTTTCCTTGGATATATTGTGGGGATTATTTCTATCATTACTATCGCCCTGTCGTTCTCATGCAGCCAGCAAAAGTCACACAGCAAGGGTGTGTCTTGTAAATTCAATTTAAAAGACTTAAAGAAGTGTGAGTCTCTGTGTGTGTGCACATACATCACTCAGATGTTGGGAGGTGAGGACTGAACAGGAGCAGGATAGGAGCAGGAGCGAAGGGATTGTGTGAAGATACGGAGCCACGAGGAAGATGGACAAAGAAAACGAAAGCAGAAGCGCGAACAGAACAACCACCTCTATCTCTGCGAATACCCACACGCACACGCTCCCAGCAGCCCGGCCCGCAGCCGCGCCCCCCCAGCCCGCCGCGGGCTCCGGCGGGACCCGCCCGCCCCGGGGCCGCCTCCGGGGCCGCCTCCCGCTCCGCCCGCCGGGCTCGGCTGCCGGGCCCGGCCCCGGGGCGGGGCGGCGGCGAGCGGAGCCGCAGCCAGGTGACCTTGGCGGGCAGAGCCGGGCTGCGCCCGCCGGCAGCCGGGAAGCTGGGTGGGGAGACGGCCGAGATGGTGGAGGACGGCGGCGAGGAGGAGGCGGAGGGGGAGAGCGGGGAGCTGCCGGCGGCCGCGGCCCCGGCGCAGCGCTGCAATGGCTTCCTGCCCGGCAAGGAGGCGGCGGGCGGCGGCCGGGCGGCCCCGGCGGGCGGCGGGCAGCGGGCGGCCCCGGAGGCCGAGGAGATGCTGCCGGCGGGCGGCGTGCGGCCGGAGGCGCGGCCGGAGACGCGGCTGTCGCGGCGGCGGCTGGCGGTGCTGGCCGTGTTCAGCTGCTACTCGCTGGTGAACGCCTTCCAGTGGATCCAGTACAGCATCCTCAGCAACGTCTTCGCCGGCTTCTACGGCGTCTCCTTCACGCAGATCGACTGGCTGTCCATGGTGTACATGGTGGCCTACGTGCCGCTGATCCTGCCGGCCACCTGGCTGCTGGACGCCCGCGGGCTGCGGCTCACGGCGCTGCTGGGCGCGGGGCTGAACGCGGTGGGCGCCTGGCTCAAGTGCGGCAGCCTGGCCCCCCAGCGCTACCCGCTCACCCTGGCCGCCCAGGCCGTCTGCGCCGTCGCCCAGGTCTTCATCCTGGGGCTGCCCTCCCGCATCGCCTCCGTCTGGTTCGGCCCCACCGAGGTCTCCACCGCCTGCGCCGTGGCCGTGCTGGGCAACCAGGTAGGGCCGGAGGGGAGCGAGGTGGGTTTCCTTAGAGTTCGGCATCGAGTTAAAAACCAGGTGCTTGAGTGGGAAAAGGCTTTCTCCAGGGTGTGGTGCTGGGAGAGTGGCCAGGTGAGGACGCGCGGCTGCCCGGCCGGCCGGGCTGTGTGGCAGCTCACACGCTCCAGCAGCTGCCGGCCGTACATCAGTCGAGACCCTTTTCTGAAGTGGTCCTGCTTCACTTCCTCTTTCTCTTGCATTTTGGCACTTGGATTCATTTGACTGTATCACCCCCGGTTGGTGTTGTACTACGTGAACTTTTCATGAATGGCCCCAGAGACAACTTATGTTGGTTTCTGCTTTTTAAAATATGGCCTCTAATTACCAGGTGCCAGTAGTCAATACCCTGGTGACTCCCGAAGTTTTGTGTAATGCTGTGATAGTTCACATCACTGTTGGGAGCTGATAACTGAGCCATGGATTTCCTCAAGCTCCCTGGTCCTGGCCAGTTTCAGAGAGCTGGAACAGCTGCATCTGAAAGCACAGGTGCAGGTATGATGCTTTTTCCTCCTGTAGCCTAATTCTCACCTCCTGCCACTGTCACAGCTTTTTGTATTTTTCCTCCTGTGGCAAAAAATTGCTAAGATTCAAATCAGCATCACTGATGCAGGCTGAGGTCATAGGTAGAGTTTGGTTAAGATAATGGGGGATTTATTTTTTATCATGTGAGTCTAATGATTTTATGTTTGTGCACTTTGGATTATGACAGCAGTGACATTAATGTTAAGTATTTACAGTTAGGGTATACTAAACCTAGCTGATTCCTCATTAGCTGATACCTGGCTGTTCGCAGTTGTTCCAAAATGCTTTTTTTCTTTGCATCAGCGGATTCCAGTGGACAAATCAACTGTCCCTTTTGGACTGAAGAATTCAGAAATCATTGGTTGTTTCAGCACTGAGGCAAAAATTTTGGACCTGCATCCTGGTATGAGGTTAAAGGTTTCTTTGGCAGCTAAATTTTCCCTCTTCCTGACATACACCAGGCCTCCCAGTAGCAAGGAGTTACTGGGGTTTCAGTTCTGCAGCGGTGTCAAGTATCCAGCTTGGAGCCTAAAACTGACACTTCACTTGGATGCTGAGATGTGGGGTTGAAGTGGGGCAGGACAGGAGCAGGAGAGCAGGGATTATTGTGTGGATGGGAACCATAAGAAGGATGGACAAGGGAAGCAGGATCAGGATGTGAACAAAATAAGCTGTGGATATTTCTGGAGTGAATTCCCCTCCAGAAGTTAGGACTTGTGGTGTTCACATTCTCTGAACAGAGAGGGACATGCTTTTTCCTGGGAAGCTGGGAGATGCAGTGCAAAAGCTCAGAGAAAGAAGAAAACCATTCTTATCTGTATTCTCTGCGCCTCTTGTTTGGCACATGTGGAATATGTTATGGAGATTGTTTACTGAAGAGTGATTTGTTAGTTGGACACCAGTGATGGCTGTTTGGAGTGATTGGCCTGTTGGATCAAAGTTGTGTCGTGACTGTCTAGAGACAGTCACAGGTTTTTCTTTAGTATCCTTTTAGTATGATATAGTTCTAGTATAGTACAGTATTAATGTAATATAATTTAGCTTAATAAAAGCAATTTATTCAGCCTTCTGCAACATGGAGTCAGAGCATGGGTCACTGATTTGATAAGGACTGATCTCGGTGTACCTGCTGAAGTGCTTGCTGGTACTGTGTCAATAGAACAACAGAATTTCTCTATTCTCACGTTTTCCTTCCTTAAACAAAAACCCTAAAAACTCTCAAAAGCTGGATTGAAAGAGTAGCAAGAAGTTAGGCACTTGGAAGTTAGAAGTAATGTCTGTGTGTCCCATTGCAGTTCCCTTCTGCATACGCATTCCTGTTGGGTCTCACCATGCTGATAATTGCACAATGTGAACTGTGTAACACAACACGTTGCTATAACCCAGTCGCTGTACTGGCTAATTGCTCAATGTCAACTATGTAATAGAGCAGGTTGCCATAACCCACCCAGCTGTTGGTCATCCAATTGCTTATCAGATACTCTGTGAAACTTCAGAGCTACAGGGAATGCCAGGACAGCAGGCAGGGTAGGAACAGAGAGAGCAGTTATTAAAAATTACATCTGACTTCTTTGAGATGCAACTGGAACACAAATCACTGGGAATGCAGCAATGTACCTGTCAAGGGTTGTTGGGAGTGCCAGATCTCCACGAGTATTTAGCATCTTAAATGAGGCACACCAAACTGATTGGAACACTTTCTTCTTTCTGGCCTTAAGCTCTCTAGATGTAAGTGATGGAAAATGGTATCACTCGACTTTGTTGGAACATCATTGGCTCCTGTTGGGGGAGGAAAAAATACACCTAAAGACAAAAAGTAACTGTGTGCTCAGTTCATGTTTGTAAGGTTCATATGCTGAAGGTTGAGGGCAAAAGGAGACAAATTCCTCCTGTGACCACTGAATACTGTGTCAATATGATGGCCTGGGTGAAAAAAGGTAGCAAACCCTTCATCAGGGTATGCACAAAGAGTGCTTTGTAAGCAGAGTGGCACACCTCTAATGTGCATGCAGATTGTTGGGCTTGCTACTCATAACAACCTTTGGTGCCATTTTTAAATTTAATATTACTTAAAATAAATGTTCCAATGTGCTTGAAAATGCCATTAAGTTTTGGGGGAGCAGAAGAAGGAAATTGGAGAATAGTCCAGGACTTGTTCCTTCGTATTTTAAAATGCTTTATATGCATACCCAAAAATTCAGTTCCTGTTTTATGTCTCTTTAATATAAAATCAGTTGTTATGATGGAATTTACTTTGCACACAAACCCACAACAACTTCATTCTGTGATTTTTATTTATTTCCTTAGCAATAATTGTTGAGTTTGGTCTTAATAAGGATATTCCTTTTCTCTGCTCTGTCTGTTGTTCAGTAAACCTTGCAGTCGGGCTTTGCTACTGTAGTGGCAGGAGCATGACATCAAATGAAGAACATTTCTACAAGAGTAGCTGGAATCTTGTGTCATCTGTAGCCCTTCAGTTGCAGGATGACTGATACAAATTTATGTTCATGTGTGGTACTTCTAGTTCCTGTGAAAAATTCTTGTATAAGTACTATGTGTAGTGTAAATATATACACTAAGTGTGGTATTGTAGTTAAATTGAGAAGTGAAAAGATTAAACCTGAGTTATGGAAGATCTGGTTGTAAAACAGCATTGAGAGCAACTGGCTCCGGAGTGTGGTACAAAAGTTTTATTAATGCTTATTATAATAACAATTCTGAATTTACCTGGTAAGAGGTCTCACTTCTGTTAATTTGTATGTTCAGAGGGAAATGATTTTTGTTTTTTTTTTCTTGCGTTACAGCTTGGTACTGCAATTGGCTTTTTGTTGCCACCTGTTTTGGTCCCAAATACACCGAATGATATTGATCTTATGGCACATAACATCAGCATCATGTTCTACGGAACAGCGATAGTGTCCACACTTTTGTTCTTCTTAGCAGGAGTTGGTAAGTGTTTAAATTACTAGAATTGACATGCTGGCTGCAGAGGGTGTTTGCAATGTCTCACTTAAAGCAGCTGACTGCTCAAAGTAATTGAGGTGACAATTTTTCCAGTTTGTGTTCACTTCCTGTTGTGTCAGGGTTAAGCAGCAGCCATTTCCCTCTATGCTGTGCTTCACATGGGGTGATTTCTTTCAGAATATTTAGTTCTCTTAGTTTCTTGGCTGCACAGACTTATGATATAATGTGATTTCACTCTGTTAATCTTACAATTTATATACAAAGGTCTTGACATATTGCAGATGAAGGCTGTCTTTGACCCTATTTTGGTAGCAATCAGATGTGACCAGATAACACATCCTTTGTGGATGTGACTCAGTTCTTCCATGAGAACATCTAGAATTTTTTTAATGCAGTTGTTAAAACTACAAGTCATTCTTCTGAAATTCATCAAGCTGAAACACTTAAAAAAAAAAAAAAAAAGCATATTAGTTTGGTAGAGATCAAAAATCAAAAATTGTTCCTTCTTCTTTTTCCCCAGTGTTTGAAGAAAAGCCCAAATACCCTCCCAGTCACTCTCAAGCAGTCCTGCAAAATAAACCTCCTGAGGATTACTCCTACAAGCAGTCCATTATTAACTTGTTCAGAAATATTCCATTTATACTTTTGCTAATCAGTTATGGTAAGTGGTGCTATCTGCTTGTAGTCTGGCAGAAAGGTTCAAATGTGGGCCAGAAGCATGTAGAATTTTAATTGTAGGGTTTTTTTAATGGGGGAGAGGGTGTCAAACTTTTATTTACTCAGGTGCCAGTACTAGAAAATCTGTAAGGATGCAAAATATCACTTATAGGTCCAGTGAAGATGTTTCACCTGGCACATAAAAGGTTTTGTGTTGTGAGTCTTAAATGTCGGAAGATTAATTCTTTAGGGTAACAAATCAGCATGGTTGCACCTGGAATAACTGAAGCATTTTTCTTTGTACTGCAGGTATTATGACTGGGGCATTTTACTCTGTGTCCACATTATTAAACCAGATGATAGTAACTCATTATGAGGTAAGTTTCTTGGATCTTATCTTTCTCTTTTTCACTGTACATTTACAGAGGTAATATTTATTTTGTAAGTACTATGTGTGCTCAGACATTTGGTTTCTTTTATACCTCTGTACAGTTTCTTGTACCATGCAGCTGTGGGAATCATAGGAATGTTTGTTTGCACTTATGACTGCCAAGAGGTCTGAACTTGACTCTGAATAGAAGCAATTATTAATGAGCACCATATAAATATTTGTTGAAAGGGAGAAGAAGTGAACGCTGGGAGAATTGGCTTGACACTGGTGGTGGCAGGAATGGTGGGTTCGATTATTTGTGGTTTGTGGCTGGATTACACTAAAACATACAAGTAAGTGTGGGTAGGCATGTGTGGGGTTAAGGGTAGGAGAGTGGTGCAATTGCATTAGGAAAATACTCCAACATAAGGGCTGAAATGAACTGCTGATGAAATGCAGTTGGTTCCTGATCTTTTGGTGGCCGTGATGGAGAGAAGTTTCTGCAGTTTCTGAGACTCTTACTGGTTATTGGCCAAAAGAAGTGAGGGAGCAGAATGCAAAGGGATTTGTCATCTATTCCTATCTCTTCAGGAGTGTAAGGAAAGCACTGTAGGTCCTATATACAGTGACCAGATGGCCCAGTGGGCTTCTTCTCCTAGGAAAGCATAAAGTTTCAAAGCCTACCCTGCACTGTATTGTCAAATGGATTCTTAATTTTTTTATGCTACTCCTGATCCTGTTAGTAAGTGTAATGTTTGCTTTAATTCAGGGGATGACCATGGAGCAGAGCTCTCTTTGTGGTAGGAGCTCCTGCATCCATCATCCACGGTGTGGTGCCCCCAGGAGTAAGCACTGCCCTGGAGCACTGTTTGTGATGGAGTAGTTCTCCCTTGTGACTCTTTAGTACAGTATGTGCCTCTACAAGCCTAATGGATGTTAATGTTGTAGATTGGCTTTGTTTCTGCATGTATTTTGGCCTACAAATACGTGTTTTAAGAATTTGGAAGACATCACTTCTTCCAGATTCAAAAAAAATAGAACACTGTAATGAGATTTGTTTGACTTGCCTCTTGGTAGGCTGACTTTTATTGCTAATAGTGTTGGACTCAGCTGCTCCTGTGTGGATGTATTGCGTAATGGGCAGCACTGCAGAATGGCCAAGAGGTACAGCATAGCAGAGAACTAAAATAGTCTTAAGGTATGTACTGTGATTGTCCATTCTTTGAGAGTTTGAGTAAGTGTCCTTAGCCTTGAGTGAAGAAGCCAGATAACAAATTAAGGGTTTAGGAATGAAGATGTGCTCACTGCATGCTAAGTTTGAGGCAGAATTACATGAAGCAAATTTTATAGTTTTAGAGTGGCTTATGTGATGTTTTTGTTATCCTTCCATGTTTCAGCAATGTGCTATGGCCTTCTATTAACAATGTTAATTTGTTGTTGTTGGGTTGCAGGCAAACTACTTTGATTGTTTACATTCTCTCTTTCATTGGGTTGCTGGTATTTACCTTCACCCTGGACCTCGGATACCTTATAGTAGTGTTCGTGACTGGAGGAGTGCTTGGGTGAGCAATTAAAGAGCACTACAAAACTTACTGCAGTTCTGTTCTGAAACATATTTAAATGTTTTACCTAGATAATTCTGCTGTGTATTCTGTCACCATGGTCTCAGCCTATGCCTTTAGCTCACAGTACAGATAGGGTTTCATCTTCTGTTACATCAGAATAAAGCTAAAGTAACTCACTTTTCAGTAAATTTCATTAACCGTTTTATGGAGCTAGGAGAGATCTCCATGTGGTCAATTTGTTTAGTTCCAATTCAAAAAACTGTCTGCAGTGAAGTTGAAGCTTTCTCTTGACCAGTGTATAAGAGATCAGAGTTTAACTGAGCAGATCTAGGAAGACTGGCTTCTCTGCATTTTCATTTTTCTGTACTTTGATAGCTCAGGCAACATGCTGGTTGCTTTGCTCATAGATACCCAATCTAAAAGCCTCAAGAGATGCTGAGGGAGTGTTGCTGTATTCAGACACAGAGGTCAAGATGAAACCAGAGATATCTTGATAGTTTCAGTGTAAAAGCCAGTCAACCAACCTCAGCTGCATTAAGCCTCTTCTCTTCCCATCATCCATCGGTCCCCTCAGCTTCTTCCACAGCTTTCAGCAGGTGTTCAAGTGTACAGTCCTTTTTTGTCCTCCAGCATGGCTATTATGATATTGTTTGTGTGTGTGTTTCATATGAAACTAATTGGCTTCAAGTATGGAGTGGCCTGCAGACTCGTTTGCAAAGGTTGTTTCATATTTATGGTGGTTGTGGGAAATAGGGCAAACATGTTTTAACAGCTTTGCCCTAAAGAGAAAAATGTGTGGCTAAAATTCTTGGATCATACTGAGGGAATGTAGCAGAATGTACTGAATTCTGTTAGTCATGAACACGTGACAGTTGTGTATGCTTCTTAGCTGTAGTAACAGATGAAGGCCACACCTGTCATCCTCTTACTCTCCTCTTCAACAGGTTCTTCATGACTGGCTATCTTCCACTTGGGTTTGAATTTGCTGTGGAAATTACATATCCAGAGTCTGAAGGCACGTCCTCAGGTCTCCTTAATGCATCAGCACAGGTTACAGCATTTTATTTCTTCAAGTGAAGTAATGTTCAGGAATGCCACTATGCTCAAGTCTAGGAAGGCTCTCTTAGACTTAGCTAAATCTCTGTTTTGTTCTACAGTCCTTTTTTTAAATTTGATTTCTGTAAGATATGACCTGAAACTTTTAAAGGTAAAATGATTACTCTTTTCTGTGTGATCCTGATGGAGTTACTTGTTTATTTATAGATATTTGGAATTATCTTTACACTTGTCCAAGGAAAGCTCACAACAGACTACAGTCCTCGTGCAGGAAACATCTTTCTTTGTGCTTGGATTTTTGTGGGCATTATTTTAACAGGTAATTACAAGTGCAAGTAATGTAAAAATGTAGGTGCTTTTAGGATGATGTTGCTAATATATGGACAGCCATCTGACCCCCATTTCTTGAGACATGTCTTGAATTTAAGACAGATGTCCATCTCCAGAATGGGGGGGAAACAAATGCAGAAATGGAGGCAGTTTGCAGTTTTCCAAATGCAAGAAATTGCTGATGCACTCTGGAACTGTGCCAGTGTTTACACATGTTGACTTACAAATGTGCTGAAAGTGCTGAACTATCAAGCTTTTCTTTAAGTGATTCTGGTTTAAAAGATTTTATTATCATTTCCTGCTTTGTGAGGAGCAAGTTCAAATTTTCAGTGAGTTCAAAAGAGCGAATATAGGTATTTTGAAAATGTGCTGAAAGTAGCTTCTGTGTGCTTGCACCCTGCAAACATTTCCTTTGAAGAGCGTGTCAGTGCAAAGGTGTGAACCAGCTTTCCCTTTTCCTTCTTTTTTTAGCCTTAATAAAATCAGACTTGCGAAGACACAATGTGAATTCAGGGATTATGAACTTGGACGTTAAAGCTGTAAGTGGTGACTCTTTTACCATGATTGTATTACCTACTTGAATGCTTGACTTCTACTGGCATAACAATATCAGCTGCAAGAGATTTTGCATAAGACAAAATATTATGACTTATAACTTATATCTTATGTTGTTCAAACCATGCTGGTTTTGAACAACAGAGCCACATGGGATGCTGCTCTCACATATCTGTTTTTATCCTTAACGCCTGTGAAAAAAACTGAAAACACTTCTGCTCTCAGAATTTTTTTTAATTTTTAAATTTTTTAATATTTGACTTTTAAGTGGATAATAATATTTTTAATTGCCTGAATCTTGCTTTTTCACAGTAGTGGGGTAGCATTGTAAATTGTGAAGCCTCTGTTTGAGTTGTGAGGCACTTCTATAGACTATGTATTTTATTTTAAATACCTGCAGTCCCTTCAGATGAAGTCACTTTCTGATAAACAGAAGCCATGCTGGAGTTCCTATTCAGTGCTGCATAAAGAGCTGGGTTTGTTCTTCTGCTGACACTCTCAATTTAAAGGAAGAGTGAGCATAGCATTTTCTGATGATCACAAAGTTCCATGTTTCAGCAGCTTTTCCAAACTACTACAGTTACTAGTAGAGAGATAAAGCTTTCAGCAGAAAAATTTTTCAGTGCTGTGGGTTTTTGATTATTTGGCTTAAGATATGAGACAGCTTTTTGGAGTCAGATATTGCAAGATCCTCTGCCTTGCTTCTTTTTGTGTAGGTGTCTTGCATGCCCAGCAGCTTTTGATCATCTGTGACCAACTGCACACTGTTAGTGTCTGTGTGAGGTTCAGAAACTTCGAGCTGGTGCTGCCTGAGCTGACTTGAAGCTGAAACCTGTGCAGCTGTGTGTGCTCAGTGTGGCATCCTGTGGGTTTCCCAGCCGGGGCTATGCAGGCTTCTCTGCTTTCCATTATCACCTCGTTAACTAGCCTAGATCCTAGTAAGAAAAGCTGCAGTCCTTGCCCTGATGTTGCCATGCATGACTGAGACCTGCCTGTGTTAATAATGTTCAGTATCACTTAGATACCAAACTTTGGTCAAGATTCTACTGTGTTTAAATGTAACAGAGAAAAGAATGGGAAGTTATTCTTCATGTGACAGATATTTATATGCAGTAAATATACACTTTAGAGTTATACTAAGAAACTAAATTCTATGTTAGGGTTCTTTTTTTTATGACAAAAAGAAAGGAAAATAGGGTTTTATATAATTTGCTTAATTGGGCTAATTAACTACATATAATGTTGTAGTCTAACCTAGTAATTACCCAAGAACACTGAGTTTGAGAATGATTCTGTTGAATAACAGCTTAATTCATGTTGTGTTTTTATTTTTTTATCTCCCTCTTCAGGTACCAGTTGACAGTCCTGTAGAACCTGAAAGCACTACATTAAAGATTCAGTCAGATTTATGAAGCTGAAGGAAGGTGACTCAGAAACGCACAAGTTTGGTTAGATACAGAATGATATGAGCTAGTGTAATCACTGGATTTCTGTGAACAAGTAGTGAAATGTGTTTGTTGATATTGGTGGTAGTTGTGTACCAGAAGCTATGAAGATGCTCAGTTCATTTTGCTCAAGATGCAAACAATTCACCTTTGTATGGAATATTTATTTTAACATTTTCAAGTCTTGCAGTTTCATTAGTAAAGAGCTGTGTGAACACTCCACGGTAGGGAGATGTGCATTCGGGTGCATACTTGAAAAAAATCAGGAATCTTGAAGTACAGTTGTCATGATCAGAAATATCTAATCTTCTTTTCTTGTTCAGTCTTGCTGGTGCACTTGAAAAGTCAAAGACTAGGGAAATGCACAGCAGGAGGATGTTCACATGTTCATTTTTTACTTTAAATGTATCTGTATTTGAATATAAGCCATTGATTCCTTCTGGAAAAGTGATAGCACAATACTGAAAACAAGAGATGATGTGTGTGTTTCATACTGGCATCTGACATTTCTTTTGCCTTGAAACTTCTTTATAGGTATCAGAAGGCAGATAAGAGAAAACACTGTTCTTGCTATAGCTTAATTGTAGCATTTCTGGGGAGATTTAAAAAGTTTCTTGCTAGATAAATTGGAGAAAAAACATTTCTTATTAAATACAGTAAAAAGGAGGACAAAGGCCTTTGATATCTCTGTTTTGAAATATTTATAAGCAATGGAACACTAACACACAAGTTTCCTCCATGGAATATTTTGAGTGCTTTCTCAGTTAAAGAGAGAGGAATACGTGTTTACAAAGAGCCAGTGCCTTTACTTTGTAAAGAAGCTCCCTGCCTCATCTTGAGTTTAATCAGTGCTGCTGAAGAAATTCCATTTTGTGTGTTAAACCTCTGAATATTTGTGGAGTATCAGATAATGTGTTTGGTCCTTTTTATGAATTGTATCACTTGTCTCATGTGAAATTCCTGTGCTTGTGTAACTTAAATCATGTCTTTTGCAGCGTGTTAAAAGCTGTAAGGATGACTGAAAAAAAAATAGTGATATTTTCACTTTTTCTGATCAAGTATGTTCTTTTATACCATCTGAGCTGCAAAATGAGCAGACATTATTAACAGTAACTTTTTGTTACTTCATTTATCTGTATTTGGAATGGGGGTTTCTCAGTGTAGTGCTTTTGAAAATTTTCTCGTTTACCTTGTGCTCTATCTACACACCCACAGAACTGATAGCACTACAATTGCTGGGAAAGTCAGACCTGGGTTAGTGGACTTTTTGGAAACATTTCCTTTTTAGCTCAGCAAACTGAGCCTGCAAGTTCAGTGCCATCAATGATGCTGTGTCTTTGAGTCCCATGGATGCAGTGCCATCCAGAAGGTGGAATCCTGCTCAAAGTTTCCCACAGATTGTTGCCATTGGGGATGGGGAATTACTTAACTCTGTGCTGGTTTCAGCTGGGCTAGTTAATTTGCTTCACAGTGGCAGGCATGGGGCTATGTTTTGGATTTGTGCTGAACACAGGGTTGATGATACAGAGATTTTTTTATAGTTGCTGAGCAGGGCTTACGCAGAGCCAAGGCCTTTTCTGCTTTTCATACATCAGAAAAGATGAGGAAGTTGGGAGTGCATGGAATGTTGGGAGGAGATACAGCCAGGACAGGTGACCCCAGCTGACCAAAGGGACATTCCAGACTATGTGTTATCATGTTCAGTGTATACAGTGGGGCAGAAGGAGGAAGGGAGAGATGTTTGGAGTGATGGTATTTTCTACCCAAGCAGCCATTGCACTTGGTGGTGATGGCTGAGCACCTGCCTGCCCAGGGGAAGCAGTGAATTAATTTCATGTTTTTCTTTGCTTGTGTGTGTGGCTTCTGCTTTCCCTATTAAGCTGCCTTTATCTCAATCATGAGTTTTTCCAGCTTCTACCCTTCTGATTCTGTCCTCAATCCCATTGGTGGGAAAGGGAGCAAGCAAGCGGCTGCCTGGGGCTTGGTGGGTGGTTGGGGTTTAACAACAACAAACTCCAAGTTTAGTCTCTAAGTACAATAAATATAATTAAGAGCTTTTCTTTTTCTTATTTTGCTGTAGACTCAGGAAAATTCTTTTTTAGAAAAAGGGCCCTGAAAGCTTCTCTTCCTAAGCTTAGCCTCTAGATGTGATGGTCTTGATTTAAACATTTTGTATGATAAATGCTTTAGACAGGGGAAGACCTATCAGAATAAACTAAGCACATTTTAACACTTGCCTTGCCAAAAAGGATTCATGTCTCTTTGCCAGGTCCAGTGCTAAGGAGAAAATGACCAGGCCTTGCTGCTTCTGGAGAGCTGAACTCTAGAAGAGTCCACTGCTGAAGCAGCTGAATATAGGAAAATTCACTCTTGACTATTCAAATAGCAGGCAGGGGTATAGGAGTGAAAGTAGAGATGCTTTCACTATGTCAGTCCTTTCCATTGAAGCTGCCCCATCAAGGGATGTACAGGTTTTCAGCCTGAGTCAGAAAAGTGAAAGTTTCTGCCTTGTGACCTATGTGGGTGGCTTTGCCCTTTGGAAAAATGATAGTAATGTGTGCCAAAAAATATATATGTTTTTCATCAAGATACAGATACAGAAAATATTTATGTTTATGGCCCATGCATGGTTGCTTTGACTTTTGGTTTTGCAAAATCTTAACAAGATAATATTTTTGTATTTTTGGGGAATTGTTTTCAAATGTCCAGTAGAAAGTTTTTGGCTGTATCCAGGATGTTCGCTGACCTGTTCAGTATACACTGTTCAGAATAAAAGATTGAGTATTTTTGTTCCATACTTAAAATTTATTTTTCAATTCCTTTCTTCACTACTAGTTTCCAGATTTTTTTAGTTATGTTCAGCTGATTACTGAAAAAATATTCTAGTTCTGGCTCCTTGTGTTTTTTATCTTCTGCTAAATTACTTGGCTACCTTCTGAAAAGGTTGAAAGAAGATTTTGGCTTGCTGGAAACCCTGATGGGTCCCTGAAAAAAAAAATATTCCTAATAATGAAGGCTTAATTACATCCTGGATTTATTATTCCCCTTCTAAAAAGAGCTTGAAAGTTGGAAACCTATGTGCTATTTTCAGGCAATTATAAAGTATTTAAATGAAAGGCTCAGCAGGAGAATAAAGAGCAAATAAAGAGTAAAACAGTATTTTTTATGCGATAGTTTTATCATCTGTCAAGAAATTGAGGTTTTAGCTCATGGCAGAAATAAATTTGGAGTAGTTGAGGCTTTGTGGTTTTTGCTTTTTAATTTTTGGGTTTTAGCAGTCATCATCCACTCAATCAAATACAGAATCATAGAATATTAAGAGATCGGAAGGGACCTTAAAGATCATCTGGTCCCAGCCCCCCTGCCCTGGGCAGGGACATCTCCCACTAGCCCAGGCTGCTCAAGGCTCTATCCAACCTGGCCTTGAACACTGCCAGGGTTGGGGTGTCCACAGCCTGCCTGGGCAGCCTGTTCCAGTGTCCTACCATCCTCACAGTAAAAAATTTATTCCTGATACTGAAATTAAATTCCCTCTCTCAGTTTGTACCCATTTCCTCTTGTCCTATCACTACAATTCCTGACAAAGAGTCCCTCTCACTTCCCTGGAGTCCCTCTTCAGATACTGGAAGGTTGCTATGAGTTCTCCCTGCAACCTTCTTAGCCTGGAAATTCCACATGCATTTGGAATTGCAAATAGGGTTTCTGACTCTTAGCCTTCAGATCCTGGCTCAGCCCTCCAGCAAGAGTAGAGTTGGGGGCTAAAAAAATATAATTGTATTGTGAATTGAATTACACATCAGCTAGGAGAGGATGGTGTAAGAAACCAAGGGAGGAGAGGCATGGAGGAGGAGTCCCATGCATCAGCTTTTGCTTTTTAATTTGCTTTTTTTCTGAGTGTTTCCATCTACTTTTTGGGTTAATTGTTCAATTACAGCTTCAGGTTATGAAGTCACATACTCCCATATTGCTCTTATCAATTCACTGTTGTTTATGCTTTTTGGGTCTGAAGTTGCAATGGTGTTCTTGGTTCTCAAGCTGGAAAAAGATTGTTTTGTCAAACTAAACTGTGTAGAGAATTTGCAGCTCTTTATATGAACTTCAGAGTTACATACTAATGCAGTACAGAATCTGGAAAATATGAAAGCTAAAACTTAAGGCATCAATAGGGCTTTTCTAACTTCAGCCTCTTGGTCATCTCTTGTTCAAGGCAATCTGTTGTTTCAGAGACAATCAGTGGAGTGTGTAATTAGAGCTGCCAGCCCATGTTGCCTAATGAAAATTCTTTTGTTTTTGAGAAATATTTGTACTACCTTGTGCATCTACAACCAAGTGAAATTGGGTTAAGCTGTAAACATTTATTGTTTTCCTTTTCCCTACTGTGAGCTTACTAGTTTTTCTGTGTGAATGGGAATGTGTGACCTTTACAGTTGTTTTCAATACATGTATGTACTTCCTTCTCATGACTGCACCCAGCCCCACCATTTGGTCTGAATTCTGTGAAGAGGGAGAAGTGATGTTAATGCAGGAACTTGAATGAATCAAGCAAAAAAACTTCCTAAGAGAAATATATTTCTGTGTACAACCCACGTTATTTACTGCTTATGTCTTTGTTCTACTCATGAAAATAACAAATATGTTTTGCTGTAATATTTCAGTTTTGTTAGTGTCCAGTTTTTTTATTTCAAGAGAAAATTAAAAGTTCTTAATGAATATTCTCCAATTGCAATACTGTATGTATGTGTATATTTGGATGGCATCATTCCTTACCATTCTATGTTACTAATAAAGTGTATAATGCCTAAATTGATTTGAGCCAAGAGTAATATTTTTGACAGCTGCTAATATAAAAGTGATTTTTTTTCCTTAGAACTTGCATTTTAATGTAGGAAAATGTAAGTGTATGACTTACTGTATCATTAATAAACATACTTGTACATGCAGAGTGCCTGTATCCAGAGTATAGAAATTTATTTTACATATGAGTATTGGCATCCAGAGACATTTTTTTGGGTGTGGAATTAAAATACTACCATTGGTAGTCGAGTTGTACTGCTCTAGCACAGAGATTTCTCCTTTGCTTTGGAAAAGGTCTGTGAGGGAATGAAAGGGCAAGTTAACCCTTTAAAGCAGAGCGATCCTTAGTATAACTTCTTGAGAGTAGTGCAGATATATTATTTTAATAAAGCATTGGTTGCCTAGAGATTATCTGGGGAGAGAGGGTAGGATAACTTCTGAGACAGGATAGAAGTGAGACATTACATTCAGTTATAGCTAAAATCAGAGTTATCTTCAGTGGGAGCACAGCAGAACCCTTGTGAACACTCTGCAAGGGTTCTGTCACCTACCCTCAGACATTTAGCCCAGGTGTGAGCCAGGCAAATTTGAGGACACTTACTTCAAAGTATGTAGAGTCGTGGTAAGAAAATGTTTCTTTTTTTTTTTTTTTTTTTTTTTTTTTTTTTATTTCCCAAATACGTTTTTTTTTTTTTTTTTTTTTAATCTCGCTTCTCCACAAAGCTGGGATTCTCTCTCAGCTATTTTGGTATAAGAGATGCTTCACAGAAGGAGGCTGCACATGCTGCAGAGCACAAGCCTTGTGTCATAAAGCAATGCAGTTCAACACTGGGCTGAACTTTCAGGTAGGTTCTTTGTTTTACAACCAGGACCACAAGGTCATGTTCCTCTTAAGGTACCTCTATGAAATCTGCAGGCAATATCCCCAATTGCCACTGTAATTTAAACATTCCCACAACTAGGAAGGAGCAATCCCAGAAATGTATTAATTATTGTCAAAAGTTTCTTTGGCGTTGGAGTTTTGGGGTTGGTTGTTTTATTTCTTTTTTTCTGGTTAGATTCTTGGTCCTTCCAAGAAAACACTAGAAACCTCATCAGGTAAATGGGAAATGTGAAGCCATCCTAGCTATGAGTAGTCAGATAATTATTTCTATAGCTGGGAGGAGGCTCTGTGATCCAAAGCTAACAATTATTACCCTTTCCAGAAAGTGATGTGGTTTATGCATAGATAAAATAGGCAAATGCCTAACAGTCCAGCTGTTTCCTGTGCTGGAAAGGTTTCTTAGAAGTCTGCTGGATTTCCTTCTGTCTGTGCTTCACAATGAACTAACCCTCCCTGACCATGTTCTAAATCAATATTTACAGCTATATTTAACATCAACTTTTCAGAAAATGAAACAATAACGTCCTGAACTTTGTAGAAAGAACTTCAGCAGATATGTCACAAAGGCTAAGTGTTGGCAATGGTTGGGCATAATTACTGATTTTTGAGTAACAAGCTAATACTGCTTCATATCAGGGATCAAAATTCAGCCTCCAGGATGCTAATTTCCAGTGCTTCCTCAGTAAACTGCTTTCTGCTTGTAACAGTGTTTAGACCATTAAAAAGGCAGTAAATAGTATCTAAAGGGCAGTGTCAGTATTGTGGCCTTGTGTTAAGAGTTTCCAGAAACAGACACAAGATTCTACAAAACCTACAAACTCCACACAGATGGAAAAATCCCAGGGAAATATTGAACATTTCAGAAGTTTTTCTAGCCTGCATTTAGGCTGAACCAGAGAGTTCCCACTTTCTTTTTTCAGAATGGGGGAGTCCTAAGGTCTTTTAGATGTTGATCACTAGTTTGATTAAGGTAATAGGGGGACTGCAGATGACTGCAGAGTCAGTTATTCTTTTAGAAATCAAATTGTCCAGCTTGCTGCCAAGAGAAAAAAAGATAAAATATAACAGTGCAGCTTGCAAAGCTGTACATGGCGTTTTCTCCACCAAATATTGGAAGGCAACTTGATGTTCTCAGAATAATTAATCAGCTGGATCTGAACAGCACTGTCCCACAGGGTGAGAATGACTCACCCAGAGATCATTAACTGGCTCCAGGGGACTTGAATTTGTGTTATCTTCTGCTCCCAATGAACAACTGAATTTTCTTCAGGCCCTAATACTAAAAAAAAAAAAAAAAATCACTTAGAGGCTACTGCCTAAAGCCTAGAAATACCATGATTTCTCATCTTGTCACTGCCCCACTGAAGCTTCAAAAGGGTAGAGAAGGCCTCAAAGGCTTGGAAGCTTGATGAAATTGTCCAAACCAGACTGTCACCAGGGGAGATGCAGAGGTCCCCCAGCTTTTGGGAAACAGAATGCTCCATGGTCAGTGTGATTTTTCTCTGACTTACTTCATCTGCTCAGAATATGAGAATGTCATGAAGGTTGAAATGTCTGTGTGCACCAAGAGCATTAGAGATCTTGAAGTCTACAGTTTGTGTGATTACACAGCACTCCTGGGTTTGATTCCAAAGCCAGAAGATGCCCTGTAGGCTTCAGTTTCCTCTGAAGATTGCTATCATTCATGTCATGACAAATAATGAAGGTAGCTGAAAAAGTAATTTTGTTCCAGATTACTGTATTTCCTTTAAAAGCTTTATTTTTAAAGTGACTACAGTATTTGAATTTTACTGTCACCTTCAGGCACTTCTGCAGCATTTTGATTACTCTTCAATCATTCTCTGGAAAAGGGGACTCTTAATCTGTAGAGCACTGTCTCCCAGGGATGCTTGAAGTGATGCTTCAGATCAAAAATAGTTTGATGAAATCATCAGTGTCGTCATGACACCTTGTAGCACCATGACACTGAGAACAGTAAATTACACATTTTTCTTTGCAGGATTCACACAGCATCTCAGTTCAAAGCCTTTTGGTGTTTGGGTTTGTGACACATTCTACTGCTAGGCTTAATAACTTTTCCAGTCTACTTTTCTTTCTTCCTGGAAAGAAAATGCATTTGAAGAACTT